ACACACACACACACACACACACACACACACACACACACACACACACAAATGCAAGTTTGTTGTAGAAATACAGAACTATATCAAACTCCACAGAGAAATAAATGGGAATGGTGGGTGGAGAGAGGGCAGGTTAAGAGGAAGGCAATAGTTACAATCAAAACAAATTTCCTGATCCTGAAGGGAAGAGTAAAGGAGAAAAAAAAAGAGAAAAGAACTAGAATCTAAGAAGGTGCCTTATATTATCTATTAGACAATTGGGGATTGGCCAAACAAATTACATTATACTAATATAACTGTACCATAAGAAATGACAGAGAGATAATTTCAGAGAATCCTGGGCAGTACGAACCTCTCCAGCATGGAATGAGCAGAACCAGGACAATCTGAACAAGGATAGCAACACTATGAATTACAACAACTTTGAAAGACTTATGAACTCAGATCAATGTATTTTCCTAATGTTGTTCATGCCACAGGCCTGGAATTCTTTCCATTCTCCTATTTCAAAGGCCTAACTCAAATGAATCTTCCTCCAGGAAGCCTTCCCTAATAAGCTCCTCTCCCTTCTAATTACCTTTTCTCTCAGGCCTCACATAAAATTTTGTTTTGTAACTTGTCGAATGTAATATTGTATTTTATAGCAATCTATGCTGTCCTCTACTTAAGGATGGTTCCTCAAAGGCAGGAACCATGTCTTACTTATACTTTGCACTCTCCCCTCAAATGCACTTTCAAGTGCCTAATATATTCTTTGTGCTTTAATATGTTTGCTGATTATGCAGCAATACATTAGACATTCAAAAGTTAATGAAAACAATCAATAGCTAAGTCATAGTTAGGGTTCTGGGAATTAATTTCCTCATCTGTAAGGAGGGAGTTGGCCTAGATCTCTAAGGTTCCCTCCAGTTCTAACATTCTATAATTCTAAAATTTAGTTAATATATTGAAAGCAAAGAGTTCTATAACAATCATTACCTCTTTCATTGCCCAACTGAGTTTTCAAAGCATGGTTTTCTTGAATATCTTCATTTCTAAACTCTTCGGAAATGGAATCATCATCAAGGCAAATCACAGGACTACTTAGCTCTTCTGATTCAGGCAACTTTTTTTTAGTCAATTCTGCTTGTCTGGTTTTACCAGATGGAAAATTTAAAAGCTCTGGATCAACCTTCTTCCCATTTGCTTTACATGTCCGTGTTTTAGAAGAGTTATTTTTATCCCCTTTTGATCTCTGAGCATTACTTAGTTTTGTAAAACAAGTTCTGGAGGGTGTAGTATAAGTTTTAGAATTGCCAGAAGTATCAAAGTCATCTATGTCATCCCAGTCACTGATGAGGATGGTAGAGTCAAATGAAGAATTCAATTCTAATTTCTTAGAATCTTTACACAATTCCTTGTTGACAGAGTTTTCTTTTGTAGGAGGTTGTAAACGACATGAAGTTTCATGGGTGTTATTTGAAGAATCTGACAATATCTGGTTTGAATAAAACTTCTGGATTTGTTGTCCTTTCGAAGTTCTCTCTGAGAAGGCACTGATACTTGTCTGCTGGTTCTTGGTAATTGGGAAAGGCTTACTGAGAGGAAAGGCCTCAGTAACATTAACATCCTTATCACTTAACACAAGAGCCTGAGTTACATTGTTGCTAGAAGGTATTTTCTTTTTAAAAGTGAAACCTCTGAAAAGGTATACGAAAGACTGACATATTATTTTAACATCCCCATAAAAGATAATACATTTTATTTTTAAAAGAAAAATAAAACTTTAGTAGTTAAGCTAATTTATTTGTGAAGAGTTAATCTTTAGCGTATTATGGTTTTTACCAATTTACTTTCATCCTCCCTGATCTGTGTTTTCCCTAAAATCTGCTTAATGACTTAGAGAAAATATCAGATATGCAAATTCTGACTTTAAAAAAAAATGTTTTTTCTGAACATTCCATTTGTGTGCAGGAACTTTCCTGCCCAGATAAGGAATACAACAGACCAAACAACTGATCTCTAACTTAAGAGTCTTAGAAGAGCTAGCTCCCCAGGAAACCGAGACACAGTAACCTGCTCAAGGTTACAGAACTAGCAGGTTTTCTATCCACTGTTATACTGCCTCTGTGACTGCTTAGAAGCTGATCATTTATCATACAACCTTTTTGACTCTCTACTTTTCTCCCTCAAACTGCCTGTCTTTTGGTTATTTTGTACTCATTAATTAACACCTCCTTCAGAGGCTAGGCAGGACAAAATAAAAGAAACTTAAATAAGCCACGTTTCGCAAGCTGTAAACAGCCCAGGTATAGGTTTTGTAGAGGAGTTAGAAATAACTGGCTAAAATGAGACTGTTGGATTATCCTTGGATTTCAGTTAATAGTGCTATTCTAATAGTTCACTAGTACTTTTACTTTGCTTTATTTACAAAGTTTTAGTAATTAAAAATAAATTCCACTTAAATAATATGGACTTAAGTTTCATGCCAAGAGTCCTAGGTAATAGACATATTACCATGAAGTCATGCTTAACTACCAAAGACAGAAAATAAAAAAAACTGCATAGTTAAATATCTGTGTCTTGGATCTAGAAGAGATCTCCAATATCATCCAGTTTAACCTTTTCACTTTTTAAAGAGGAGAACATTCAGGCCAGGTCAAGTGATGTGTTCAAGGTGATGGAGGTATTAGGTAGCAGAGCCAGCCAAGATTTATACCAAGGCCTTCTGACCCCAAATTCAGGACTCTTTTTATTACACCACTGAAGAACAACTGAAGGTACTTATGAATAACTAATGGCTCAATAAGTAATTTGTCTTATCAACTGCTCTAATATGGAATGTCACAATATGAAACAAAAACCTTTAATCTGTTAAAAAATTCAGCGTTCTAGATCTGAACTGATATATGGAAATAGATGGGGCAAAACATTTGCAAGCACCAGACAGCCAATTATAAGTATGACCTGCTAATAATTCAAAGGTTGGATGGGTTCGAGACAAAGTCTCTGCACTTAAGTTATTAACATTAACCTGACTCTCCTTCAGATGAATGGTGATCAGGAATAAATGGGAGATTTGAGCAGGGTCACTGTTTGTTAAGTGCAGGGGAAAGGCTTTCAAACATGTTGCAGAGCCTAGGAAGGTAATGGTCAAAGAGAAATGAAGCCCCTTGAGAGAATCACCCCAAGCTAGTCCTTACAAGTCTCGGTATTTTTTAACTTGTTGCAAACGGATTTGTGCTAATCAGCTAAAATGCTGTCAGGGTCAAAATTGTGCCCTCTTCACCACATAGAAAGGGCGAAATAGATAAGGACAAAATGTCTGACTGGAGACCAAGGAAGACTGAGATGCAGGATAAAGAATAATGGAACCCTAAGCTTCTAGTTCTATACTAAGGAGGTAATATGATATTGGGCAAATCATTTGACCTCTCTGGACCTTCATTTCCTCATGTATAAAATGTGGGGTTATACTAAATGACTTCAGAAATTCTATGTTTTCATGCATTTGTACCATTTTGCATCTTATATAGGGATAGGGACTAGCCTTGTGATCTCACTGGTAAAGGCAACTCCCAGATGAGCAAAGTTACCCTACCAAAGTAGGTTAGTACCTTCTCTGCAGCTTATAGTCTTAGGGGGTTGTCTATAGCATTGAAAATTTAAGTGACTTGCCCAGTATAGTGTGTGTCAGAGAGCAGGACTAGAACTCTGATCTTTCTGGCTTCAAGGCTAGTTTTAGCTCTGTCCACTTTACCATATTGACTCTCACTGTAACGGCACAACAGACCAAAATACTTACGGAGACTTGGGTTTCAGAACATTTAATTTATTTTGAATTTCTTTGGCTGAGTGACGCTCTAGCTGCTGTTGCAGATTATTCTGAGGAATAACAGCCATAATTCTAGGTGGAGAGAAAAAAGTGCTATCAGTTACTCAACATTTATCACAATATTTATAAGGAGGGAGGGAACACACACAAAAACTATTGACCCCCAAAACCCAATGTTTCAAATGTGTCCAAGGTGATAATATGCTTGGTTTTTTTTTTAGTGTCATAGAATTTAAAAATGGTGACATTTGTACATAAAATACATCGTAAACTTTAAGATGTCATAATATCATTCACTCACTAACAACCTATTTCGACGACTCATTACGGCATATAGCAAACCTTGGGTTCTAGTTTATGTCAACAGAGTGGCATTTTTTGCTCTAGAACAAGGGTTAGCAAACTGTAAGCTTAGCTGGCCACCCTGTAAGAATGATTTTACATTTTAAAAATGTAAAAATCATTCTTAGTTCACTGGCTGTACTAAAACAAGCCACGGATGGCATTTGGCCCACTGTTTGCCATTCCCTGCTCTACAAGCACCTATTCAGGCTAGAAAGATTTCAAGTTATGGGCTTGGTAATAAAGTAGATATTTTTCAAATGACCCCACTTTGGTTAAATTTGGAGAGGCTTTTCTGGCCACTCTTGAAGACAACACACCAGGGCAAAGGATAGTTAAGATCTACGTTGGCAGGGGTACCTCGCCTGGCAAAATCACAGATCCCAGAAGCATTGTTAGGATACAAATAAGCACAGAGTAGGGGGGAGTGGAACCCAAAGTGGAATTGGAAAGCCTAATTAAAAATTGGAAGAGAGTATATAGTTCCTGAGCAGAAGTAAAATCAAGGAACAAAGAAGAAATCATAGTGAGTGGTAACAACGGTTTATCAAAGAAAAATTTATGTTAATTTACTTATTCAATGCCATACCAAACTACCAAAAAATATTTTATAGAACTAGAAAAAGTAATAACAAAATTCACCTGGAAGAACAAAAGGTCCAGAATATTAAGGGAACTAATGAAAAGAAATGCAAGGGAAGGTAGCCTAGCAGTACCAGATCTAAAACCGTGTTATAAAGCAGCAATCATCAAAACTACTTGGTACTGGCTAAGAAACAGAGTGGTGGATCAGTGGAAGAGGTTAGGTACACAATATACAGTAGTCATCTGTATAGATGACTATAGCATCTACTATTTGCTAAATCGAAAGACTCCAGCTTCTGGGATAAGAATTCACTATCTGACAAAAACTGTTGGGAAAACTGGAAAACAGTTTGGTAGAAACCAGGCATAGACCAACATCTTGCACAATGTACCAATACAATGTCAAAATAGATACATGATTTAGACATAAAGGGTGATACTACAAGCAAATTGGGAGAGCAAGAAATAGTTCATCTCTCACATCTACAGAGAAGGGAAGAATTTATGACCAAAGAAGAGATAGAGAACATTATGAAATACAAAATGGATAATTTTGATTACATTAAATTAAAAAGGTTTTGCACAAACAAAGCCAATGCAACCAAGATTAGAAGGAAAGTAGAAAGTTGGGAAACAATTTTTACAGCCAGTATCTCTCATAACAAGGCCTCACTTCTCAAATACATTGAGAACTGAGTCAAATTTATAAGAACACAAGTGGTTCCTCAATTGATAAATGGTCAAACAATATGAACTGGCAGTTTTCAGAAGATGAAATTAAAGTTATCTATAGTCACATGAAAAAATGCTCTAAATCACTATTGATTAGAGAAATGCAAATTAAAACAACTCTGAGGTGCAGCTAGATGGCACAGTGGATAGAGCACTGGCCCTGGATTCAGGAAGACCTGAGTTCAAGTCTGGCCTCAGATACTTGATACTTACTCACTGTGTGACCCTGGGCAGATCACTTCACCCCACTGCCTCGCCAAAAAAACCCAAAAAACACCGCCCCCCAAACAACAAACAAAAAACCAATTCTGAAGTACCATATCACACCTATCAGATTGGCTAACATGACAAAATAGGAAAATGATAAATGTTGGAGACGGGGAAACTGGAACACTAATGAATTGTTGGTGGGGTTGTGGAGAGCAATTTGGAACTATGCCCAAAGGCTATAAAAATGTGCATACCCTTTGACCCAGCAATAGCACTTCTAGGGTTATATCCCAGAGAGATCATACAAATGGGAAAAGGCTCATGTGTACAAAAAATTTTTACAGCAGCTCTTTTTGTGGTGGCAAAGAACTGGAAATTGAGAGGATGCTATCAGCTGGGGAATGGCTGAATAAGCTCTAGTTTATGAAGGTAATGGAGTATTACTGTTCCATAAGAAATGGTGAGCAGGCAGATTTCAGAAAAACCTGGAAAGACTTACATGAACTGATGCTGAGTGAAGTGAGCAGAACAAGGAGAACACTGTATACAGTAACAGCAACACTGTGCAATGACCAACTTTGAAAGACTTAGCTCTTCTCAGCAATGCAATGATCTAAGACATTATGAGATTCATGATGGAAAATGCTATCCACATCTAGAGAAAGAACTGTGGAGTCTGAATGCAGATCGAAGCATACTATTTTTCTTTCTTTTTTGTGGTTTTCTCCTTTTGTTCTGATTCTTCTTTCATAACTAATATGGAAATATTTAATATGATTGTATCTGTATAGCCTATAGCAGATTGCATGCCATCTTGAGGAGGGTGGAAATTTAGAACTCAAAATCTTATAAAAGTGAATGTTGGAAACAAAAAAAAAAGAAAGGAAAAGAAAAGAAAGAAAAAAAAGATTTGTGAAGCATAACCTAACAGGTTTCAACACAAAAAAAGATTTAACAGAACACATTTAATATTTTTGCGTATCAAATGCTTTACTGCTTGAGTTTAGCGTCAATCCAAAATCATGCTTGCTAACAGAAAATGGTTTTGAAAAATTTAAGAGATTTAATCCTTAATTCACGGATTTCAATCACCTAATAGAATGGAAGCTCTTTGAGGGCAAGGCCTTTTGTTTTTGTCTTCATACTCCTAAGCATACTGAATACACACGCCAGGTGAATTAAACAAAAATCTCATTTTAACTAATAATGTTAATCATTCCAGTATTCTCATAGCACTTTTATTGGCAACTGACTTGCATTTCCTCTTCTTGTACTTTGCTCTGACCATCCTTTGAAGGAGGTACTAATGAGGCATGCAGAAATATTCTAGCAAAGACCTAACATTAGTTAAATCTCTCGTGTCAGTGACCAGACATCTCAGACATCTCAGTTCCTCAAATCATTTCCTGATTTTGCACCCACTATGACAACTATACTTTGCTCATCTGTGTGATTCCCCAGATCCTTTCCTTTGTAAAAGTTTTTCATATTATAAATCATGCTGGGGAAAAACCTAATTCAGCGATTTAATCTAAATATATTAAATCGGACTTTTGTAGCTCCTGGGGAGTACTGTTTTATACTTCGTATTTATATCTCTAGTGTCTAACATAGTACCTGGCACAAAGATGGAATTTAATAAATGCTTGTGGATATTGCTACTGAAACTGGGTCAGAAGTACACAGTCATAAGGCCTTCAGTCATAAGGGAAAGAAATGGAACAAGGTGACCTATGACAGTAATTACTACATTTTCCAAATCTTAATAACTTCCATTGTTCTCTTCTGAATGCCTCCTAAATTCTGCATATTTTGATTGCTCCATTAGGAGTTAAATGGACCTCTGATAATCTTAATAATTAAGCAACTAAAGCCAAATGCTGATTTGATTAACTGTTACTTCAAACTAGAATCTTTATAAATTCTATGAGTTGCTTGTATACAATCCTTTCTGAAGGCAGTGAAGATGGTGGCAAATTAGGCAGGACTTAGATGAACCCAGATCTCCCACAAGTCGTACAGAAAAGCTTAAAAATAAAGCAGCAGAAACAATGATATAGAAGAGTAAAGAGAAACTCTAAGCTCTTCTATCCAGTCCAGGACTGCAAAAAATTAATGCTGGAATCCTGTGGAAGATCTGAGCAAAGAAGAGACCAGGCAGGTAGAAGCCAAAGCATGGACCTTCCTAGATCACAAGACAAGGCCAGAGCTAGTGCAGCCATGCCTGAGTACAGCAGGATAATGGTATCCAGGTGGCCCCACTTAAGACACAGGAAAAGCCCAGTGCCCAAAGAGCCCCATTAAGGCACTGCAGGGAATAAAGATAGGTCATCTCTGAAGTGTCTTCAATGCCCAGACCCAGGCAGCCTATCCATGTCCAAACTCACAGCAAGAGAGAAAGCCAGGGCAGCATTTGGGAAGCATAGTTCCTCAGATCTTCCAGGACTCTTGCTATTATCACAAACAACTTCAAGATGGAATCTTGTCAAGCTCATATCCAGGGTCAGAGCCAAATCGGGGTTTGGAATTGCACAAGAAAGAGGAGATAAAGAGAGCTAAGGTGAAACTTGAGTCATGCCACAATTTCTTTTATTTATTTATTTAATTTTTTTTGCAAGGCGACCAGGGGTAAGAGATTTGCCCAGGGTCACACTCTGAGGCCTTATTTGAACTTAAGTCTTCCTGACTCCTGGGCGGTGTTCTATCCACTGCTCCACCTAGCTGCCCCCATAATTTCTACAGAAGGCAGGGCCTACTTTAGCTCCATCCAGGATCAAGCAGGGTAGTCAATCAAAAAACATTTATTAAGTGCCTATTATGTTCCAAGCACTACATTAAGCATCTGCCCACACTGCTTATACTACCTAACACAAAGCCCTGATCCAGAAACTGAAAACTAAGATATGAGTAAATGAAAGAAAATATTGAATGCAATGAAGAAATACTTTGGACTGAAAGAATCCCAAGAGTAAATCCAGAAAAAAGTGTAATTCCACAATTACAAACAAGGTCTCAGAGAAAAGAATGTCCTGATCACAAGAACTACAAGAGTTCCTGGAAGAAATGAAACAAAGCATACAAAATGTAATGTTGAAGGAAATGGCAGCTAGGGAGGGAGGAATGGCAAAGAGATGAACTCTCAAACTCAGAAACTGTTCTTTCAAACAGAAAGCAATGACCCCAAAAGACAACAAGGAATATTATGAAAAAATGAAGAAAATGTAAGGTACATTCTATCAAAAACAACTGATCTGGAAAACAGGTGAAGGAGAGATGATCTCAGAATCATTTGTGTTAACTGAAAATCATGACAAAAGAAAAAAGGCAAAAAAATTACATCAAGAAATTATAAACAAAATTGTCCAGATCTATTAGAACCAGAGGGCAAAGTAGAAGTCGAAAAAATACATTAGTTACTTCCAGAATGAAACTCTAGAATGAAAACTCCCAGGAATATTGTGACCAAAATTCTGAGCTTCCAAATCAAAGGTAAAATACTGCAAGCAACCAAAAAGAAAGAGTTCAATTTCCAAGAAGTCATACTCAAGATCACACAAACTTGGCACCTGTCCCTATAAAAGAGAGGAGAGATAGGAATACAATATCCTTAAAAGCAAAAGATAAAGGCTTACAACCAAAAAAAAATAATCTACCAGACAAAACTGAGCATACTGCTAAAAGGTTAAAACAACAAACAAAAAAGGACTTTTTGTAGGGAGCTTCTAAGCATTCCTATTTTCCTGCCTAAATTGAGCAAAATCTTTGAATTTGAATGTAAACCTGGGAATCAAGAAAAACAGAGAAAGGCAAAATATCTAGGATTCATAGAAAAGACTGCATGATGATGAATTGTTTACATTTTAGTTAGAGTAGAAAAAATAAGTGTCTTCTTGGAAACCTAATGTCTTTAAGGATCATAAAGAAAGTTTAGACAGGCAGAGGGCCTGTTCTGCTTTAGTAGTCTTAGGAGAAGAAGAAAAAGTAAGAGATAGGGTAATATACTGGGAAGGAAAAGATGAAGAATAGGAAGGAAATTACTATCTCACACAAAAGGGGTGCATGAGATAAAGACTATATAAATATGAAGCAAGAGGTGGAGGAAACAGGCATCCCATGAACCTCATTTTCATATGAACTGGAAAAACAAAGGTTTCCAAGGTTTATCAATTTCATTTACACTATAACTCTCCAATAAGCCCCCTTCTCTCCTCTGTTATTACTATATTGCTCCCACCCTGGTGCAGGTCCTCATCATCTCATGCCTGGACTACTGAAATAGCCCACTGATCTGCCTAAAACAAATCTCTCCCCATTCCAGTCTATCTTCCACTCAGCCATCAAAGTGATGGCCGCACCACAGCACCTGCCTACTCAATAACTCCAGGGGCACCCTATTATCTCCAAACTCAGATACAAAATCCTCTGACATTCAAAACCCTTCACAATATAACCCCTCCCTTCCTCATGTACTCCTGATCCAGTGACAATGGCTTCCTTACAGTTCCTCAAACAAGATGCTACATCTCCAGACTCTGGGCACTTTTCCTGGCTGTCCCTCATGTCTGGAATGCTCTCCCACGTTATCTCCACCTCTTGTCTTCCCTGGCTTCCCTCAAGTTGCAGCTAAAATTCTACCACCTACAGGAAGCCTTTCCCAATCCTTTTTTAATTCGAGTGCCTTCCCTCTGTTGATTACTTCCTATTTATCCTGTGTAAAATGTATTTGTACATAGTTGTTTGCATGTTGTTTCCCTCATTAGATTATGAGCTCCTCAAGGGCAAGATCTCTGTCTTTCTTTGTATCCCCAGAACTTAGAACACCATCTGGTACAATAACTGACTGACATGTTGATTTTAAGATGTCTTCAGGACATCCAGTTTGAGATGTTCAATAGGCACCTGGAGATAGGAGACTAGAGGATGGGAGAGAAATTAGGGCTAGGCAACTAAGATTTGAGAGTCAAATGCATAGAGATGATAATTGAAACCACAGGAGCTGATGAGATCACCAAGTGAAATAGTATATTGGGGGAAGAGAGCCCAGGAGAGACTTTGGGGTCCCTCTTGGTTGGCAGGGGTGCCATGGAAAACCAGGACAGATCAGTGTCATAAAAACCTAGAGAAGATATCAAGGAAAAGAAGGTGACTGATAGTGTCAAAGGCTGTGGAAACCCCAAAAGGATGAAGACTGAGAGAAAGCCATTAGATCTGGCAGTTAAGAAATCATTAATAACATTCATTTGCTTAGCTTAAATTTAGAATTTTAAAAAATATAGAAAAATAACTACAGCAATATTGCTCATATTAATGTGTGTTCAACTCTAAGGCTGTCTTTTCCTGTTTTAAGGGAACACTGCCTGTCCTTCTCAGGGACAGACAATATCTATCACCAATGACAACTACTAATGAAATTCTACTACTTCAAGATCTGTGATTTCATCCACGTGGGTACTTCTCCTCCTTCCACCATTCACACAGATCCTTTTATACCTTACTAAATGGTCTTCATGAACTGCTGTTTAGGAAAAATTAATAACTATGCGGCCAACCAAGTGATGATGATTCTCTCTGAATTGTTAGAAAGGTCCATGGATGAGACATATAGACCTTCGATATCACCATTAGGATAGCATGATGTATTCACAAAGCAAAGCCTGGGTCCAAGTTCCCCAGCTCTTCCACTAAAACTATCTGTATGACTTAGGCATTTTTCATCCATAAAATGAAAGATTTAGACTAGATGATCTTCAAATATTTAAGTCAAGTGATTTCCATGGAAGAGAGGTCCTTTTGATCAGGAGAGATGTGCATTTTAGGGGAAAGTAGTAGAATTCTTCTCCACTGGAGTACTACTCTTGGTTCCTTTTTGTGTGTACAAGTGACCCTGTACACACAAGGTTCTTGAAGCCTGTGCCAGCTGAGCACAAGTCCTACTAATTTCTGATAGGATCTACCAAGACTGGGAAAACTTCATGAGGAAATGTCCTAATGGTGATGTTGAAGGTCTATGTCTCATCCATTGGGCAGCTAGGTGGCACGGTGAAAGAGAGCCAGGACTGGAATCAGGTAAGTTCAAACTCGTCTTCAGACACTTGGTAACTGTGTGACCTGGGCAAGTCACTTAACCTTGTTTACCTCAGTCTCCTCATCTGTAAAATGAGCTGGAGAAGAAAATGACAAACCACTCCAGCATCTTTGCCAAGAAAACCCCCCAAAGGGGGTCCCCAGGAGTTGGGACACAATTGAAAAATGACTCATCAACATCTCCCTTATGATGGGAATGGATTCCTAGTCCACAGTCCATTGTTCTATAAATATATCAGGCTATATTCGTGATGACAGCCTCAGAGTCAGGAAGACCTGGCTCCATGTCCCATCCTTGACCCTTGTTGGTTGTGTGATCCTAGGCAAGTTATTTCAGCTCTCACTACAACAGGCAACTAAGTTGCTGAGAGGGTGGCAATCTGCATTGGTGGAGGATGTTCTCCACACCAATGAAATCAGGAGTCCAATCCCTATTCCTACAAGCAACTATTGGCAATGGTAGGAACACTGCCAAATCCAAGTTTAATCTGAATACTTTAAATGTCAGATTTACACAAATCAAAGTAAGAGAAACTAAAGTCACTGCTCCAATACAACTACTTTTTCTTATTTTTCTCCTGCCTATCCATCAAATTTGTCAGTGACATTGCCTAACCCTGTTGGTGGTTTTTCCAGCTGAACAAAATGCTGCTCCTCAGTATCAACAAACCTGGAAGGAGCCTTAGAAGCACTAGGCTTTTACCGATGAAGAAACTGAGACAAAGGGGCGTTCTTTTCTCCCCTTCTCTCCCTTAGGCTGCAAAGGCAGAAGGCTATTACGAGGAATAAATAGGCGGAGTCACACCTGCCTGAGTAGGGGTCAAGGGTCGTAGGTTCAAAGGGCCAGGTTACAGCTGGTGTGCCCTTGGAGCTCACTTTCCCCTCCTGACAGGCGAGGCTGGCGTCGAAGTCTCCTACCGCGACCTCGATGACTGGGGTGGGGGGGGCTCTCCAGCTCCGCCCCACGACCCCGCTCCGGACCAGGCCGGCCCAGGGCAACAGCCCCGACCCGCCGGGAGATGGCCCTGGCAGAGGTTCCGGAACGAGGTCTGGGGAGCCTCCGCCGGAGGGGTGTAAAGCTGACTGCACTATAGCTTACCTCGCACCCACGCACTCATACTTCGCAGGAGTCCTCCCAGCCACTGTCGCTCAGAGTGAAAGTAACACGCAGCGTAGCTCTCCGGACAAAACGCGCGCAGGTTTGCGCGTCGGGAGGTCTTCTCCCAATTGGCCTACCCTCTCGTGGGAACCAACCAATAGCGTTACTTCCTGGGGCTTGGCCACACCTTCTCCGAGGAGGAAGCAATTGGGCGGCCGCTGGGAAGAGCGAAGAGGAGGAGGTCTGTGAGTCATGTGACTCTGAATTGACCGGAAATTGCGTATTGTCACGTCTAGGAGCCCAGCGAGAATTGTAGTAGAAGTCCCTGCCTCTCTCTTATCTCGTCTCTATTAGTTGGATGGTTCTTGCCTTTGTAGCTGGGCCTTGTTTATTTTGGAGGGTCCAGGTTCTCCTGTAACACCTGAAAAAACACCAAAAAGACCGTGACCAGTGGATTAAGGAAAAAGGTCTCATACTTAAACTTACATTTTATTCCCTTGTATTTGTCTCCCCTGGATTCTGACCTCTGGCCTCCGAAATTATCAGTATTTTGCAAAGAACTTTACACGATCCTGATCTCATTTTATACTCACAAGCCGTGTGAGGAAGGCACTATAGGCATTCTTATCACCATTTTACAAATGAGGAAACTGAGGCTCAAAGTTGAAGTGACATAGCCAGGATATGATAGCATTTTAGTATTTAAAGCTAGGAACCTTCAGACTATAGTTGCAGCGCTCTTCCTACCTTGTGTTAGTGAGTTGACTTCAGTTCAAAAGTTGTGCAAAACCTCACCATTATGACAGTTGTGCAAGTTAAGTGACTGAGCATTCCGATGCTTAGTTTTCCTTCCATGCAAATGTTTATAGGTTTTACAGTCCAGAGAACGCTTGAACTGCAAAGATAATAACATTTATCTAGAGCTTTTAAGATTTGCAAAGCCCTTTACAAATACTATCTTTTGATAATATTAATTTATTATAACATATGATATGTTATATAATATAATACAATAATATTAATATTATCAATAATATTAATTAATTAATAATATTAAAACAACACCTGGAGGCCAGTGCTATTATAATCCTTATCTTATCGTTGAAGAAATTGAGGCAGACTGTTGGGACTAGCCCAGAGTCACATAGGTAGTAGGTTTTGGGGGATGGATTTGAATTTACATAATCCTGACTCAAGGTCTAGTGCTTTATTGCACCACTAGCTGCCTAAAGTTACATGATAGTTATAAGGGACTTGGCCACAACTTCAGGAATTTCTTCCCACTTTCTACTTTCTTCCCACAAAACTGTTGCCATCTATTTACAGAATATTCTTTGTAGAAAGAAAAAAAATGCAGAAATTCAGATCGTATCTTATATATGCTGATGATCTACAATCTTTAAAAGGTTCTGCCAGCTCTCTTTTCCATTTCTGAACTCCAATTACAGTCAGTATCATTGTTTAGTTTAATCAAGTTAAACAAACATTAAGTGCTTGCTGTGTGGAAAGCAAATTGTTAGGCTACAAAGATAAATAAGAAAGTATTGGGGCAGTTAGATGGTGCAGTGGATAGAGCAGGCTCTGGAGTCAGGAGGACCTGAGTTCAAATCTGGCTTCAGAAGCTTGATCACTTGATACTTACCAGCTGTGTGACTCTGTGCAAGTCGCTTAACCCCAACTGCCTTGCCAAAAAAAAAAAAAAAAGTATTCCTTTAACAGGCTGACAATCTGTTAGGAGGTATAAGACTTGTATATAGAGAAATAAGTATCAGGCAGTGGAAAGAAAGTGTTCTGGATTTGGAGTAATAAGACATGGGTTCAAATCTCCACTTGCTTTTTACTACCACTTACTTTGGGAAGTTACTTTTGTGGGACTTAATTTTCTCATTTGAAAAATGAAATTGCACTAGATAGTCTCTAAGGTCCCTTTCAGCTGTAAATCAATGATCTTCAAGATACTAAATAAATTTTATTTCCCCTCATTTGCTAAGCTCGTTCAAGGAGAGAATGGGAAACTCCAATGGGGTTTGTGCAAAAAGAGATCTGTTACCTGAAGAATAAATGATATGATAACAAGAACATTGTAAACACAAATTTGAAAGACAACTCTTAACAATACAATGACCAACCACAATTCCAGTGGACTGATAATGAAGCATGCTACTCATCTCCTGATAGAGAGATGATGGATTCCTGATAAGGAAAGAGACATGTGGTTTTAGATATGGACAATGAGGAAATCTGTTTTGTTTATGAACCTTTTTTTTTAAGGCAATTGGGGTTGAATGACTTGCCCAGGGTCACACAGCTAGTAAGTGTTAAATGTTTGGTCTGAGGCAGGATTTGAACTCAGGTCCTCCTGACTTCAGGGCCGGTGCTCTACCCACTGTGCCACCTAGCTGCCCTGTTTATGAACTTTTAAAAAACCATATTTTTCCATACATTTATAATCTGTTCTTCTTACCACCCTACTCCATTAAACCAAAAACCCCACAATAAAGAGTGAAAAATAGAACCTTTTAAGCATGAGTAGCTCAGAAAATCAAATTCCCACATTGGTCACACCTGCAACTGTATGCCTCCCTCTTCATTTTAATTTTTTCTTTTCTAGGGCAGAAGGTGAATAATATGTTTCATCTTCAGTCCTCTGGACTCATGCTTTATTATTACATTGAGCAGAATTCTAAAGTTTTTTAAAGTTGTTCTCTAAAATGTTGTTGTATAAATTGTTCTACTTTTGTTCATTTTGCTATGTATCTGTTTATACAGATCTTCCCTGTTTGCTATAAAGCTGTCTATTTCATCATTTCTCATAGCACAATAATATTCAATTACATTAATGCACCACATTTTGTTTAGCCATTTTTCAGTAGGGTAATACCCCTTCAGTTTCCAAATTTTGGCTACTATGAAAAGAACTGATGGTGCTTATATGTTAAAAGGGTTTTGTTTTGGGAAAGTGGGGAGCAAAAAAAATGCTTGTTAACTGAAAATAAAAAGTTAGAAAAAAAGAGAGGAGATCTGCTTCTGGAAATGAAGAACCATATAAACCAGGACAGAAGAGGAGATGGAGAGGAGAGACCCTGAAAGGAACCTTAAGCACCGAGGAACCAATACCAGACAGAAACATTGAAAGGGTGATGATTATGAATGGAAGAGTAAAACTCTGGCCCTTGTCTTTTCTGGTACTCGAGATCTGTGTAGCAGAGAACCCCATGCATGGAAGAACAGCATGGCTTTCCTTTACCTTCAGCTGTGAGTTATAAGAAATGTATAGGTCCATAAGGTGGAACCTAGCAGAAGGGAGTGTTGCTTGACACTTTCAGGAAAGGGAAAGTTTGCCTGATAGTTGAGGGACTTAGGTATGAGTGTTTTTTTTTAAAAGAAAACTTGGTTTATAGTTGATGACTTGTTAGCCTGAATGCTTGTATAAGAGATGAGATCCTATTTTGGGAGAGCAAAATGAGCCCAACACTGATGTTCTCAGATTTTCTCAGGGTTGGGGGATGAACCATAAAGGTTCTGTGAGATGCATAAACCAGATATTGATTGATATTCCCCGGGTTTTTCTAGGTACAGATACAAGCTTGAGCAATTCCATAAGCATCAACTTCCCCTCCAAATTAGGCCCAGGTCGTGTAAGAGTTCAGTGCTTAATTGACACATGGATTACAAAAAGGATACCAAATAGAGTATAAGTATGTGGAATAGGCATAAGAAAAATGTTACCAGGGAAGAGAACATGCACTTATTAAGCATCTGCCATGTGCCAGGCACTGTGCTAAGCACTTTACAGATATCTTATTTGATCCTCACAACAACGCTGTGAGGTAGGTGTTATTACTATCTTCATTTTGCAGTTGAAGAAACTGAGGCATATAGAGGTTAAATGACTTGTCCAGAGTCCCACAGGTAGTAAGTACCTGAAGTCACATTTGAACTCAGGTCTTCCTGACTCCAGGACTAGTGCTCTATCTACTTTACCACCTTGCTGATTAGGAAATGATGTCTGTTTAGGGGTGAGAGTATCAGAAAAAGTTTCATGGTGACGTTATATCGTGAAGACTAGTCAGGATTTCAATAGGTGGAAATGTGGTGAAATTCCATACATGGACAACCATATGAGCAAAAGTGAGAAAACTTAGAACACATTTGTGGACTACTGAGCAGCCTTGTTTGGCCGAAGTAGAGAGTATGTGAACGGTCAATAATGTGTAAAGTTGCAAAGGCAGATTGGAGCTGGATTTGAGAGGGTTAAGGAGTTTGAACTTTATTCAGCAATAATGAGAATTGCTTATGAGAATGAATAGAAAGCCAGTTGGCATCGACAGTAGGAAGTTGGCTTTGGAGCAAGGCAAACTCAGGTTCAAGTCTTGTCTCTAATACACATTAGCTTTGTGACTCTAGGCAAATCAATTGTTTTCTCAATGCCCAAGCAATCATAACTAGAAGTTGCAGAACAGGTGCTGATCTATATTGGAGCTCCTTGCTGGAGCTTTCTATACCAAAGGAAATCTAAGTCTAGTTAAAAAAAAAAAACCCAAACCAGATGGGGAATCAGTGAAGTTTTTATTTTTTAGGAGTGGAGTGATGTATTAAGATCTTTTAAGGAAAATTATTGTTATAATTAGGCCTATATTCCTAAAAAGATTACAAAAAGAGGAAAAAGGCTCATATGTATGAAAATATTTTAGAGCCTCTTTTTCTGGTAGCAAATAAATGGAAATGAAGAGGGTGCCCATCAATTGAGGAAAGGCTGAACAAATTATAGTATAGAAATGTAGTGGGTTGCTATTGTGCCATAAGAAATGATGGAAAGGACAGCTTTAGAGAAACCTGAAAGATTTATATGAACTGATTCAGAATGAAGTGAAAAGAACCAGGAGAACAATTTATACAGTAACAGCAATATTGTGAAGACAAACAGTTTTGAAAGACATAAGAACTATGATCAATGCAACAACTAACCATGATTCCACAGGACCAGTAATGAAGCATTACTGTTTATCTACTTAGAGGAAAGTGGTGGCCTCAGGATGCAGAATGAGACATATATATTTTGGACACGGCCAATTCAGGAATTTATTTTGTTTGACTATGCACATGTG